CGTACTTGTACCAAAAATATTGATGCATCTGGTTCAGCTTGATGCCACTTTTGACATTCCGTTACTTTTTTTGTCACTGCTGCTGATCGAATACCTTGATCGGGAATAATATTTCCGTTAAGGCAAACAACTGTTATTGTCAGCAGGAGAAGAGAGGTGAACATGGTGTTCGAATATCGATTCAGAAAATGATACATATTCTTCATTGTCGACAACATTTTATATCCAACCGAAAAGTTGACATGTTTATTGTAATTGAAGAGTTGAGTTTAAGTGTAGCTATTGAAAATCATAATTTATTGTTTTGAACTGATTAGATATACTGTAAAATATTATTCATCATAAGTTTTAACGATTATAGCATTGTTGTTAAGAATGTAGATTTGCTTGAAGTTGATTTTTAACAACTTAACGACACAATTTATCTATGTTTAATGTATAAAATATAATTGTTTTTTCATGCTTTCTATTTTTTAATGGTTATTGTTTCATGATAAGAATATTTTGTGAGCATAATAATAAATCAATTATATGCACTGCACTTTAAAGAGTGTAATGCAAAAAAACCTAGGTCAGTTATCAGCATACGATGTATTTTTGGGTGAAAGAAATGAGCTCGAAACTGCGCAAACTCGAAATTTCGAGTTCATTTTTCGCCAATACGTATTTTATCAATTAGCATCAGTCCATATTTTATGCTTTATAGCAGACAATAGGCTCCCAACAATTTGAGCTATAGACTGTGAGCATTATGTAACTATAAATTGATTAATATTGACCTTAAGTAGTGCTCACGTTAATTAGTATACAACCCATTAGCGCTAATTAGTGGTGTACTACTTAATGTGAGCACTATCTGAACAGCATACCTGCAACATTTTGGAGACTATCTCGACATCATATCTGTAATCTTTCAAGGGCTATCTGAGCATCATATCTGTAACTTTTAAAGGCGTACCTGAACATCATACCTATAACTTTTTAGACGCCATCTGGACAAGATACCTGTCACTTTTTGAGTCTTACATATGCATGTTATCTGTAACTTTCATAGGCCTACTTTGTGGAATCCGTTGGGTTACAGTTCGGACACAAAAGTTTTGGGCTAAAAGGCTGCCGTTTAGATAAGTTATGATCTGTTGGTCGTTAGATATAAATGATGGAGAAAAAATATCTTATGCCTTTGAGTATATTTTGTGACGCAAATAGAATGTTTCATGTAAGGTATTACAAGTTGATATCCACGTTCAGATACCAGAAAGTTGAATAAATTGTTCCAGAATTTGTGTCCAATTTTGGAAAAAGTGAGAATGAATGGGTCGGAGTCCATTTGTAAAAATCATGAAAACATTGGAGTCTTTCTAGGGGATGATTGTATTTGTAAGTTTTTCAGTCCTTCTTGTGAATTATATCTGAAACTATGTGATTCCAACCGGTGCATAATATCGATAGCTTTATGATATTTGTATTGGTATGGCACTGGCAATGTTTCATTCTGGTTTTCGACATTATACTTAGAACATTTCGAACTGTTTTTTTAGTATTCTACGGGTGTTCATATTATTCTTAGCGTTGGAATATTGTGTAGATATGTAAGCGACAACGTATTTTTACTGTATTAAGAGTATCTTAAAAACAGTATCAAAGGAAATCGTATATATTCCTATAGTAATAGATAACTGTTGTAAGAAAAGTATCTTTTGTTTTTTATCTTGGAAAAGTTTCAGTGCTACTCAGAGTCGGATAAAATAAGTCAGGATATGAGTGTGGATGTGGCTTCGAGTTAATGGTTGAAATAAACCCACACCTACACTAACTCGTAAATCGGTCAAGACAACACCATGCTCTGTTCATACTGAATTAAAGAAAAACTCTGCTGAAATCTGATTGATCTAGATGAACAGCCAGTAAATTCTTTACTATTATCAACCCAAAGCATGGTGTTCTTCGGGTCATATAAAGGAGGACCTTTCGAAACAATCTGATTGGCATAGACAACCCTATGTTTTGCCATTACAATGGTCAAAAAGCTCCTGTTGGAATCTGATTGGATAAGAAGAAGAAGCTCCTAACCAATCAGATTTTAGTAAATGTTTTTGCTAATATTGTAAGGGTGAAATATAGTGTTGTCTCCGTCGATTAAGGGGTTAGCAGGAATCCTCTTTCTTATGACTCGAACAACATTATGTTTTGTTCTTACAATAGTCGAGTAAAAGCTTTCTGGGAGAACATCCTTTCCAAAGTAAGATTCTCAAGCCCACAAAATTCGAGACATCGTTTTGCGGTTCAGATCCGTCGATCTCGAAAATCTTAGATCAAACATTATTAGAAAGACGTTATTTTCGAAAAATTCTCTTTCCTTTAGCTGGATAACCAACTTCAAAATGCTAATGCAGGGATTTGTAAAAATCAAGAGTATATACGAATCATTCAGAATGAATTGGAATGGCTAAGAACGTCCGAGTGAGATTTTTTTCCTCCTTGTGCCAACCCCTAATTACAGATATGATGTCAAGGTGACCCTCGACAGGTTAGAGATGCGGTATTCAGATAGGACTTAAAAAGTTACAGATACAATATCCAGATATCCCTCAAAAAGCTATCCTTGGTAATCCGAAATAGCCCTCAAAAGGATCGGTGTGGGAGTGAGTGTGGATGTGGTTGTGGATGCAGATGGGTGTGTGTTTGTGAGATAATGGGTGTCGGAGTGAGTGTGGGAGTGGATGTGATGGTGAATGTTTGTAGGTGAGAGTCAAAAGAGTACATATATCCACACTTATATCCACAACCACACCCTTTTTGACCAAAGTAAAATAAAGCTATTCTAACTTAGTGTCAGCTAAAAATATCATATTTGTGATCAGCGCACTTATCTCTAGCAGATCGCATGTATTTCTCCAAAAATCTCAGGAGGACACTTCGAGATGTTCTATCGTTAGCCGTCAATAGAGCTCCTCTCACAAGATTTTTCAACCGGTTCTAACTCTGAACAACATTTGCGTATTCATGCAATACATAGAATCTAGAGGAGAATCGACTCAATTTTGTTCACTGTATCAAAAATTTATCTTTTGCTCGTATATAAAAGTTGTCAACTATGATGACTTTCCTCTTCATACCATAGGGAACAAAGAGCACTTTAAGAGATGAATCACAAATATCTTTCTGCTCAAATACATAGAAGTTAGTTACAAAAGTCATATATTTAATAGTGCATATCAACTTTTATCATAAAGTCAAAATTAAATAGTTGAATGATCGGGAAAGTGACTTTTTGTCTCACTTTTTCATTACGATCTCTGGACATATGAAAAAGGACAGGATATTCAGAATGGAGTCCTTCATGGTAAAAGACAATGAAATATAGTAAACAACAGGATGTTTGTAATGAAATTTGTCCAAAAGTTCGTTACGAACTGTAACAAACTATTGTTAATGACTGAACAACGAAATTTTGACTGTAGATCGGAATGACAAAGGAGTCGTAATGAAAACTACAAGGTGTTCGGAATGAAAATGGCAGGATGTTCGTAGCTGTGTTGAGGCTTACTAATCTTTGAGAGAACGTGAAGTGACATGCCGACTCACAGTCTAAGAGGGTGCCTAAAGAACGTTTCGATGAACGCAGGCAGTAAGATTGTTCTTTTTTTCGATTCTGACTCTAACGTTAGTTTTTATTTTCAGTATTCCTTACATGCTCTCCGTTACGAATACCAAGTTTTTGGAAAAAAAAGAAATAAATATTTATTCATAATTGTAATGTGAATGTACATCATCATCACGTTCTCTTTCTCTAACAACTAAGAAGAAGGACAACAAACCCTTTATAATGTTTCATTTTTATAGAGACTATTGCCATATATTGATATTTTGAATAGATTACAAGACGAAAGCTTAGAAACAACTATTATATTTACTAAAGTATAGATAGTAGATATAGAGAAACAAAAACGCTTATTCATATAATTACGGATGTAACAGGTAAATGACTTCTGTTCTTGTCTATAACAAACAAAAAGAAAAGTCTTTGCATCCGTTACGATCTCCTAGTAAATTCTTTTACGAGCTTCCTGTCAATGTCATTTCATTCCTCCGATCCTTTTCTTGTAAAAGTACCGTTAGGTATACATTCTGAACATCCGATCTTGTTCATTACGATCTTCGATCACTACATCAGATATAGCAAGAAACATTCTATTCCGAACACCTAGACACATCATTCCGATTTCTCTGCTTTTCTATTACGATCTTTCATACAAAAATGTTTGCGAACTTCGGTCATAAATTTTTAAGGACAAAAATTCATTTCCGAACATCTGGGCACATGTACGGAGTTCGGAATGACTTCAGACAGAAAATACGTCATCCGAATGATCAACGATACAACTATTATAAGAATATTAAATTCAAAAAGTAATAATATCTTTTTATATAAAAATTATTTCTGAAAACTTCTTCAGGATTGTTTTGATGAGTTCTGCAACTAAGTCTCTTCTTTAACCTGCAATAGAAGACGAAAAAAAATCGAATAGATGAAATCTCAATTTTGGTCTTTGATAAGCCGGTCTTTGATAAGTCAGATTCCTTATAATAACTCTTGAGTTACTTTTATTCGTTTTATTTTTGCAGGTAATTAGTTAAAATAAAAAAGATGTTTCACAGTTTATTTATCTCAATTTTAATATTGTTCATATAATTTATTTTGAATTGAGTTGTACACATTCAAAAGAAATAATGTTCGCATCCACCTGGTGGTCGTCTGTCATAGTAAAGTTGACAAATATCTCTTGGTACAGCTGGATCTTTACAACAATTATCCCATGGTATTACATCATGTTTGTTGTGTGCATTCCATTGAACTAGATTTAAGATATTGTCTGGTGCTCGTTCACGATCCAATGTACCAGCACCTTGATGTGGATCACTCATCCAATTACCTGCTTTGTCATAACAACATTGAGCACCAGGTCCTGTACTTTTATATCCAAATCGATAACA